GACAAGACACGAATTATTCATAAACACCAACATGATATGAAACAAGCAACAAGAGGCAGAAGTGCATGTTTAGAGCAGACTCATTTAGAATTCAGGGCACTTTGCCTCCGTCTCGTGGATGATATTACAGCGAGGCAGAGCAGCAAATACATTCAATTGTCTATTGGTGTTGTTTCTGTTTACTCACACCACACTGAAATCTGTGTTTTTATATTTTTATTTGAGATGTGTTATTTCTCTCAAATCTACGAAAGTACTTCTATGAATTATAGGACGTTTAATCAACATCTGAGCAGTGAAGTCCAGACAAACTGCTTGACTGATCTGGACATAGTATAAATATAGAATCAAGTTTTTCATGAATGTGTGGATGCCTGCAGAAACTAATCTTCCACATTCTGTTTGGTCATGTGGGCGGACATCCATAAAAAAAAAAAAAGCTCATAGCACAGGCTGTGGTTACTGTGCGTCCGTCTTGTTACTTGGACAGCACATCACATTATCCGTGCAAATACAAACACCAAGGCATCCAAAGATGCTATAGAGCAGTTAAAGCCGGCCGACAGGTGCTCCAGCTGTGCTCCATCTGTGCTGCCGTCATTATAAATGGACCGCACTTGAGACACCTCATGTCAGCACACAAACATATTTCCTTGATTCCCTTTCCCTCGCATCTTTTCTTTCCATCTCTCAGGAAGAGACACGTGAAGGAAACATGGATGCATTATTTGAGATGCTCTCCATTTCTGATCAAAAACAATCTGCTGCTCTCTTCCTCCCCCTGCAGGCGATCTACAAGATGGTGGGCACAGTGATCATGATGAAAATGAACGAGGACGGCCTGACGCCCGAGCAGAGGGTGGACAAGATCTTCTCCAAGATGGATAAGAACAACGACGACCAGATCACACTGGAGGAGTTCAAAGAAGCGGCCAAGAGCGACCCGTCCATCGTACTACTGCTGCAGTGTGACCTCCAGAAATAAACCAGAGGGCGAGCGGAGCGCTCCACCAGCCGCCACGGACTGCACAGAAAGAATTTCATGTTCCATTCAGTTTGCAGCTATTTCCACTGAAAAAAATTATATATATATTAATGCTTGGACTACCTTTCAATGGATCTGCTTCTTGTGTTTGAAACACTCGTGTGCATGAGAATGTTATTTGCTATAAAAAGATCTACACTCAACATACAACAGTGTGCAGGTGCACACACGCAGTACATACACACACACACATACACACACAAACACCACACACCTCGCACAAATAATATATATATAGATATATAAATATGAATATATATTTAAATTATTTAAAGATCAACTGCCAAAATGTGAAGTGTGCAAAGTATTTTCCATACACTTTCATTCTACTGGAGCTTGCGCATCAGTGATGTGCTACGTTGAATTTGCCGCTACTCTATTTATTGTTAAGAGTTTACCGATGCTAGCTGTCCGTGTTTCATAATACTGAGTAACGTCGACTGAACCAAATTCCTGATAATGTATCTGCCTCCAATAAGACACTCCGTCCATCATCTCAACTATTAGCTCTAGAAGAGATGGATTAGCGTTTGTCCAACTTCTCCTTCCGAAACATGCTTGTACTGTAAAAAAAAAAAAAAATAGGAAAATGTAAATGTAGTTAATTTGCATGCCTTTAGGTTCTGCCTTAAAAATCTCCTCATTTTGCATCCTGTAATCGAAGACAGAAAGCCTTATCAAAGCAGCGTAGACACTTGGGAGAAACCGTGAGACAAGATTTTTACTGAATAGGGAGCAAAAAAAAAAAAATCACATCGCAGTGGGTCCTTCTACAAGTTTTGTCGTATGGGATGTAATTTTTGTGATCTGTCGAGGCGTTTTATTTTGACTGCTTTAACTGTGGGAGCATGTTTCCTCGTAGATTAGCTGTAGTATATGTTGCTAAGAATTAAATCCCTGCCCCTGTGCATTTAAACACACTATCTCATGACAAATATGATGTTGAATGTGGAGGAATCCATCATTTTGAATCAGTATCTGAGATTTGAAAAGAGAAAAATGAGCTAAATTGCAAGATTTGTAAAGCAAATGGAGCAGAGGCAAGTGAAATCAAACGTATACATCAGGATTCCCCAGCGAATGAGTGAAACTTCCCTCAGCTGCAGTTCAATTAGGTGGGGAAAAAAAGAAATATTCATCTATAGTTGGAGAGCATTGTTATCAAACTGAGTTATAACCGAAGTGTCACCATCACATCCACTCTTTTCCAACTAGCCTGCAGGTTGCATATCAATACGATCAATTCAGAGGAGCTTTTATAGAGCGGTGAGGAAGAGGTAAAATTAGGCCCGTGCAGTATTTTAACTTGTTTGTCTTTTTCAGTGGAAGTAAATGAGTGCTAATGTAGTGAGAGGAGCAGTGAATGGTTTTTCATTTCACACTGTAACTAGTAGAGGACAGCTGATCCTGTAAAGCCATGCGTTTAGTAGGTTGGACAATTCGCCCTCCCTAACCCTTTGAAGTATTTCTCTCTTACCAGTCAGTCAATCTTTTTGTACTTTTTTACTCCCTTCTCTCACACATTGTACACGTGCTGATGCTTTCTAAATGTGGAGAAGTTCAGCCGAGTGTGGTGCCTCCCAAACGATTTGGAAATAGCCTGTAAGCCCGCTTCAACAAGTGTATCTGGCCCTGTCTGAAAGCACCGCAGACACTTTCCAACCTGCATTTATACCCCCGGTGTTTGAAGAGCTAGAGGAGGCTAAAGGAGATGCCATATTGCAATAAAGATCTTAGTATACCAGTCCATCGTCATCTCTCAGCAGCGTGGCGTGTCCCCCGGTCACTTTGTAATCTGAACTTCTTTACATGAACATCTTTGGCCAGATAATGTTTCTAATTCCAACTCTGTTGTTACTATTATTGCTATCAAGATACCAAATGTAAGCAAAGGCAAAAGTGTACAAGGATTCTTTTGTAGCATGTATTGTGTCCCTGACGACATGGCTGCACTACTCCCTGTGTTGTGATTTAATCTAATAAAAGGAACTCTATGGGCTCTCGTCTGGTCTGTTAACTCTACAAACCATCTTCTCAAGCAGCGTCACATATAAATGTGCACCCTGACCAGTGGTTCCCAGCTTTTTTGGTCTGATGTACCCCCATACCTTTACCAGATAAGCCCAAATACACCACCTGTTAAAACCAAAACAGAGTCAAACAAAAAGTTAAAAACAAAAATAAAACCCTAACCCCCAGACAGTAAGATAAATTAGCATGTAACAATGCAAAGAAAAACATGTAGAGACTCATACAGAAGTAATCCCTCTGAGTCATCACTTAAGGGAGACAGTGAATTTATATGCAGACTCGCATGCCGAAAAAATTCTCAATGACCTAATGTCATTGGGGTACCATATTTAACAACAGCAAAATAATATCAAAACATCAGTTTACTCTCGCGCATGCAGTCTCATATCCAGTCAGTACTTCTCAAACTTGTCTTTTCACCAAAACATTATTAAAAACACTTCAGGATAAACAGCACAGGCGTGCTACTCCACCATGCCTGCAGCAGTTTATGTTAAAGCGTTTCCTCAGGTTATAGCAAAGAATTATGTTTGGGAAGTGCTGAGCATACAGCTGGATAAATGAGACTTGGATTATGCTGCATGAGTTGTGTGAGAGTTTGTGAACAGATGTTTAGATATGGTTTTACTGTTGTTAAATGTGGCACCCCACGACTTAAATTCATCAAGAAAATGTCTCAGTTTTTGGATTCTTCGTTCACTGTGGAGACATGCAAGAAAAACAAAGTTTTCCTCACAAATTCAACAGCGTGAGTAACTGATGTACAAATAGTCATTTTGGGGATGAGATATTAGTAGTCGGACTAAACCACCAACCTCAAACGCCAGTATTTGATGACCTGGGAACAAGACTCAACAATCAACTATCTTTCTCCAGAGTCACAGACAGCACCTTTATCTGTTTAGGTTGAGTTTGTCAAGTTTACTTTATGCATTACACTTTCCTATTTCAACATGTTATCCACCACCTTAAGCTAATTTATTCAGCTGTTATCTAACACTTTTAACTTTACTTTTCTGCTCACATCCTCTCACTTGCTAGCTACTTTATATATAACCTTCATGGCAACATACAGTGTAATGTTAATGTATTACAACTGACTCAGGTCAGTGGGAGGTGTTTCTTGAGCAGTCAGCCTACTGAAGCTGGCAGCCCACTGGTTACGTGACAAATAATTTACTAAAGATCTGCAACACGTTATGTATGTATTTGCAATACTTTGTAGATCTGTATTTTCCTCCTATACAAAATGATATGCTCTTTTTCTTTAATTATAGTCTCTCCTTTAGTGGAGCAACTCCATATTTCCCTGCTAGCTGTTTAAGTGCCCGCTGTGATGTACACCGCTGTGTGTACATTTATACCTCATCTGTAGTCTGAAAGTGTTGCCACATGTACACAACATATTGGCTAATACTAGACATATTTCTGAAATAATGTCCCCATACAACCACCAGATGTCACTGTTGAAAGGTAATGTTTAAATAATAGGACTGAAGACACAATGTTCTTACAGTTTTCACATTTTCTTTGGAAACATAATTTGATGTTAGTTTTTCAGGTGAATTTGCACTGGCAGTTACACTAACTAGCAGGAATACTGTAGGTGTTTAAAAGAAGAAAACTTTTTAGTGGAGATGACTGAGCGAAGCTGCAGTGTTTACCCGTGACTGTTTGGCACAATACCACTGATCACATCAGGTTCACTCGTGGGTTGGTGTCCTCAAACACAACCAGGCAAACCCCAGGGATTGCATCATCACAAGCTGTTTGGAGCTTCAGGCAAACTAAGAACGGGTGACTCCATAACCCCTGTGCAAATGTGGAAAATGTATACTGTCTATTGATCTGAATGGGTTCACACAGAGGACAGCACTTCCACTGCGTTCCATCTTCAGTATGTAAAAAGGGAGGAGACAGGAGGTTTTAGAAAAGGAACATTTATTTTACAGAAACCATATACTTTACATAGTCTGTACTGATCAACTGAATTTCATATCACGCATTGCATGACCATAGTTAGCTTTAAATTAAAAGATTGTAGCAGTATGAAAAGAAAAAAAAGACTGAAAAATAATCTGCTCTGGGAAATTTCCACAGCTGACAGAGGAATACAATGACCAGCCACTTTCTAAATCCTGGTAAAACTTGTTTTCAATGCTTAAGTGTTTGTCCCATTTGACAACTGGCATACATCAGCCCCCTGCCCTAATATTAACTGACATACTGCCAGTTTCACGTGTATTTGAAAATGAAAACAATATCATCATCATCATTAAAAAAACTTCCGCAACTGTATGTGTACATTACACCAACATAGACTAAGGAATATGTGAGATTCGTACAGAGAGAAAAGACAGATTTGAACGTGGAGGTAAAAGGCATGGAGATGGATGGGGTTTCCAAAACGCTACTTTGGAGGGTCTGTGTTGATGCCGTATTTCTCTTTTAGAAGCTTCAGCTGTTCTTCTTTTTTCTTTGTGTCCATCTTCTGGAAAGCCTGCAGAGAGAACGGATAAAACAGAATAATCAAATTAGGAATAATTGCATAAAGATATATGTTCATATTAAAAGATTCAAATCATTTTCTTCTAATTCCTATGATGCCTACAGACACTGTAACACTCATACATACTCTGTTTGCATTGTAGTAGAGGACCACCAGGTAACGGTTGCAGACGTTGAAGCCTGACAGATGGTCACAGGCATTCTTGGCATCAAAGATGTCTTCATAAACCACATAGGCTGTTCCTCTTGTTTCAGGTGTGTTCCCTCTGAGAAAGGACAAAGAAGGACGTGACTACAAGACCCCACGTGAGTCCAACAGGTGTTTAGGGCAAAGGTAGAAAGGTCCATTTTAATGAAACAGAAGCAGTTTGGAATTTATCTAATGAATGATATTATTGTAAAAGTATCAATGGGCAATATTGACATTTCAATCTTGCTGATCTACAAATTTGTGCTGCATCAACTGTTGCAGACACAGTCAAGAAATTCTGTCCACTGTATTCTAGCAGCCAAAGTGGACGATGCGAGGAAAAGCCATTACACTAAGCCAACAGGTAGACTCTCGCACATAGCAAGGAGGACTGTTCCCAAATTTTGGATCTCTAAGGATGTCCTGGCACCGGACGACTGGTTTAAGGAGGTATGGAGAACTATCCCTCTGGAAAAACTGACTTACAGCCTTCATGACAACATGGAGGGATTTACCAAACTATGGCAACCCGCCTTGGACACAGTGGACCCCTCTGAACTGGACTTGGTTACACTTGATTAATAACATGCAGCAGACTGTAGCATATCCAAGTAATACATCTGTGATTGTCTAGTTGGTGGTGATATATTCAGGGTTTTTTTTGGTTGTGAAAATAAGGTTGTTACTCCCACTGTTTTTCTGATTAGTTCAAGGTGGTTTAAATGATGGAAAAGTAGTTCTGTGAATATCCAGTAATGAAGATATATAAAACTGTGGCCGATTACCTAATAAAAACAATTATTAAAAAATAAATAAATTATGTCCATCTTCTTTCAGGCTATGTTCTCCTGCTGTCATAATAAAGATTGAATTCAACTCTGCCTGCCATTTTCAGTGCTGACACACCAGTCTGACTCGCTAATGTTAGTAAGGATCTGATAACATGCACCTTCACAAAATGTTGGTATAAGTAACATAATTGAGTACAAGCTGACCACACAAAAATGATTTGCTTGTCCTTGATCTTATACAGCATCTACAATAAAAATAATCAAATCCAGTTCTTGTCAAGTACATCATTTGACCTTTTTGATCTATGTAAACCCTGTAAAAAGCTACAGTGTACAAACACTTACGTTCTGATTTGACGTATTGGCCCATATTTCCCAAAAATATCGTACATTTCCTCCGCTGTGATCTTGTAGGGAAGGTTTCTGACGTACAGGATTCTGTTCACCTCAGGAGGTAATCGTATCTGCGAGAAAAAACACACAAGTTACACAACATATTATTGGATCTTATGTTAAGCCACAGAAAAGCAAATGGTGATGCAATATATACATAATAACAAAACAAAATGACAAAATGTCACAGCTACTGCTAAGGCAATTCCATGAGAAAACACAAGTCGTGTGCCACACATAGACAAACTTACAGTTTAATTTAATCTAATGGAAACAGTGACTGCAATAAAAGCAACTTTTCAATAACTAAAGTTTAGTTGACTGGTTTCTGTGTGAATGGACCAGTTATTAAAATCGTGTCCATATTAAAAAAAAGTTAATCGTGACTTTAATTTCCCACACTCAGCCCTAGATTAGCTAGAAGAGAATTAAATACTGTTGTGAAGTATCAATAACAAAACTCAGCTAACGTTAGCATTAGCACATCTCAACTTCGAGGCCCAGGTGTTAACATGTTCAGTGTACGTTACATGTCGTCACATTTTCAAAACAAAATTTCAGACCGCACACAGTCCAAATAAGTCACCTGACTAAGTAAAGTTGGATATGTTAAAAGCTAAATGGGTATTTGTTACACAGGTAGCGTGATTGTTTTCAACTCGTTAACATGCTAACCATATGCTAACGCTGGGTGACGCTAGCTCTTAGTGTAGCCAAGTTAATATTATCAGTTAACGTTATAATCCTCACAGAATATAACAGCCAACTCGCTTGAACTTACATTAGCGCGTTTCGCCGCTTGCATAGCCATGGTGAAATAATGTTATGTATAAACAAGGTCGAACAACTAAACAACGCAGTTTCCCAGCTCTCCACTCTTTCCGTCAAAATGGCAGCGGTCGCTAGTTGGCGACGTACTTCCGGTTTCCGACTCAGCGACTGGGTGCAAATGGTGCCAATATGGTGCACTGCTGCCCCCTGCAGGATACATGTTATTACAGCACTTCAGTTATCCACCAATGAGGCAAACACTGACGCTAACTCATTGTCATAACTGCCGTGTTTACAGACAACTTATTTTGACACAGTTGCTTCATTATCTTTTTTTCAAACAGCAATACCCCCAAAAATGGCATTGTCTCACTTTTAGCAATGAGAAATACACACAATCTCTCATGCCATTTTCAAAATGACTGCTCTTGAAACCAGTCTCCCCACAAAACAAGTAAGTACATGTGATTAGGCCTTTTTCAAAGAGGCTAGTTTGACATTTCACAGTAGGAGAAGCACAGATGTAAATAATAAAATCAATAATGACTGCATTAACCTGTAATTAGCTACTATGATTTCAGGTGTGCATGCTGGCTCACTTTGACGGACAGAGAAAGCCCCTTCTGACAGAAATCTATTGACTTTAATCCTGACCCCTAACCAAGATATCCCTCTCTGGTAGAAATCCCTCAAAGAAAATGTCTTCCACCTGCCACTGGCACTGTCATGGCTTGGTCTGGGACACTAGAATAGAACAGAGCTGTTGCTGATGTTATTCGTAACACCTGTGCTTTTCCTATTATGACAAGTCAAAATGTCTGCTGTGATAAAGACCTATTGTACAGGTCAGTTGCTCTAAACAAACTGTGCAAGAAGAGAAGTTAGTCCCCAAGCTTCAAAATGATCAGCATTTGTTACACCTGACTGCTTTCTGCAATATTCTGCAGTGATGGCATTTGGGATGACAGTGTGCTAGAACCATTTTAAAAATTGCACAGGGCTGTACAGAAAGAAGAATGAGCCCGATCTGTCGAACATTAGTTTCACATTATGACACTATGTTGTCACGTTATAACATGAAACACTTCAATTTTCAACAAAAGTCACAAGGTTAGAACATGAAATATTTCACATTTATAGTATTTTCAGATAAACAGTATATCATTTAAACACAGAAAATTTATTGTTATAACATGATAAAGCTGTATGTTGTAATAACGTGAAAATATCTTGTCATGACATGGAAGTATCTTACTAAGGTTTTATTGCTGTGCCATACTAATCCACTTTTAAGTCTCCCTCAGTAAAATATTGATTAAATTAAACTGACATGAATTGCTCGCTTAATCTTTTTGGCCTTATTTAACTTTTTTTTTATGTGTCAAATCTTGACTTTCTTCTTCAATTAGGTTAACTTCAGAATTCATATTATGCAATAAACAGTAAAATGCTTTTACATTAACTTTATGGGCTTCTTTTGCAGCTGGTATTTCCAGTTTTCTTTACCAAATTTACCTGACGGCTGATTTTTTTTTTTTTTTTTTTTTGTCAAATTCAAATGTTGAAATAATAAATGTTGCTATTTCGGGTAAAAACCCTTCTTCTTAAGAGTTTTAGAATCTGAAAGAAAAGTGTTTCAACATAGGAGCATGTCATCCCCCAGCTGATCTGATGGCTGGAAAATTTCCAATATTGGCATTGTAATGTTTTCATGGTCTGCACCAATAGGACACCTTCAACAGGCAGACTGTCAAGAATCTAATACTTGGTAAGGACCTATACTCGACAAATACTTGACACTCCGATGCACTTTGAAGATCACACTTGTATTAGTTTTTCTGATGGTTTCACATTTTCGGCCAAAGTACATAAGACATGATTAAAATGAATACCTCATAGTACCAGAGGCAATGCAGAGCAGCAGAGAAACACATTTTGTTAGTGTGACATGTTATATCCTCTTAACTAATTAGCAAGCTAGCCACTACACCATGAAAACTAGTTAATGTGCTAATTGGTTGTTGTTCAAGAAGTAGCCTATCTCCAGCACCTAAAGTAAGTATATCTATATATAAAATAGTAATATCTCATTTTTATTTCTACATAAATAAGAAACAAGATGCAGTCAGAAGGTGTTTTCAACTTTTGGTGGAGCTAAGCTAGCAGTTTCCATCTGCTACTAGCTTAGAATTTGAACTAAGCTACACTAAACACATCTTGTTGGACGCACAGATGAAACTTCTGTCTTGACTCCTGGTGAGACGCTACATAAGAACATTTCAATTGTTTTCCTTTTAAAGGAACATTTAATCACCAAAATTATCATTTGCATAGCCTACCTAGCCTACCTAGTATTAACTTTAACTACACATGCCTCCAGGGTAAACAAAGAATAAAAAAAAACAACAACAAAGAAACGTCTTTTAATGAACTCCTGCACAATCTCAGCTGTATATTCCATGTCCCATTTATCCAGTTGTATGTTCAGTGCTTCCCCAAACACATTTATTTTTGTTAAAACATTAAAGCACTTATGCATACAAGTAACGTGCCAGGTCAAGCAGGTATGTTTGAACCATAGAGTGTATAAAATAATAGACGTAGCTATGGTGACATCACCCATTGGTTTTTGGACTGCCGTTTTAAAGCCTTGACTTTGGCATTGCAGTTGTCAACATCTTGGTTTTTTGAAGTGACTATATTTGGACAAGAGGGTGGAGCTGTGGAGCTCAGAGGGGTGAATCTGACTCCTAAACTGTAGCAAAGCCTCACAGACAGCCTGATACTGAAGTGCCCCCGCCCTTAAATATTTATACCTTTGGGCCTTAACAAATATGTACACGGGTGAGGTATTAAAAATTCACCAATTCACCAATTAATTGGTGTTAATGACTAATATCTCCCTTCAAGACAACAGTGCAGGGGTGAATTTTTATATAACTCGCCCTTTAAAGTTTCATTAAGCCTTAAAGTTACACATAATGAAGAGGGTGGTTGCTTTGAGGGACAGGCTGTGTGTGAAGCATCACATTTTTCTGCCTCTGTATGTATTTGCATTTTTAATATGTGTGTGTGTGTGTGTGTGTGTGCGTGTATGTGCATTCATTGAGGTATTGTGCATGTACCCTAGTTTGTATTGGTGTTGTGCAAATTTTTGTGTGTGTGTATCTGTGTGTGATGGGTAGTGACAGGCGTGGGCTCTGCTACAATAAGAGCCTGTGTCACTGCAGCAGGGGGCAGGAAGCACCAAGAGGGGCAGTAAGAGGGCAGAGAGGGGCATGAAGTCAGGTCAAACACCCTGGGAGAGCAGGCCTGGGAAAACCATGGGAACAGAGGGGAGGGGAGATGGAGGGAAGGGGAGGAGGGGACCATGTACAAATTGGGGGTGTCAAAATTGGCTGAAAATGACATTTGATCATTCGCAGGGGCGTCATTTCAGCAAAAGCTAAGGTATGGCAATATGACATGACGTCATAGAGCTACTGATGATGGAGTTTCAAAAATATGAACTTATATAAAACTTCACTTTGGTCTTTGACTTGTCAGAAGTACATACTATGCTATTGAAAACTGTTTCAAAGGACATGAAGCTGTTTCTCACATTCATAATACTTCATGTCTGCATGTAATGCACGACTTGGTGAGAGCAGTGAAAACATCGGACCTATTTCTGCGCATATTTCAGCACCACGGACAGCGAGTGGACGTTTAATTATCATTAGTCATGTGTTTAACTTCACAGAAAATAAAGAAAATAAATTAATTACAAGCTCATTTCTAGAAGATAACCAAGGGGCCCGGTGTATGAAACACAGTAAAACAAAGGCCAATTTGGTACAATACTGTATAGGCGTATTAATTGGAGTGTCTCCAGAGACCGAAAATACAAGCTTAACATGCCGACATGAAGAAAAAAACCCACATACAATCAGACAGGCTTCAAGACATCATTTAGACAGGCTGTCTACAGCAGCAGAGCAAAATGCTTATACAACACAAAGATACCGTATTTTTCCAAATAGCAGCCAAGGCATTTATTTCACAAAATCGATTTTGACCCCAGGAATTTAAAAGAACCAGGGGCTATTTGCTCAAGGCTTTTTATTTTTGCACCAACCTGCACCAGGCCGTTATTTTTAGTTATATGTTTTTTAGTGCAAAAATACTGTATAATCTAGGGGTGAGTTCGTGTACAAAAATCTCTAAACATTTAGAGTGGGTCATTTTTTTCGTGTACATGGGTTTCACCGCTGGGTGGTGCTATTGCATTATACCAGTAAAGCCCCAGTCATCCCAATACCAACCGAACGGG